GCCCCCCCATGTCTTCATCAACCGCGGTGGGGGGTTCTTTTTTTTTAAGAAAAAAAAAAAAAGAACCCCCCACCGGCCGGTCTGTCAGTCAGTCAGTCAGTCAGTCGTCTTTGTCTTGGTTCTCAGACAGCCTCGGACCCCCTCCAAGCATTATTCCGCACGTTCAAATTTTGATTTCGCATTTTGGGCACGGAAAGATGATAAAGCCTTACGTTTTGCCTGCCGGGCCTCTCTTTTCTGCATCTCCCCCTTGTCGCTATTGTAGGCTCGCTCGCTTGGAGATGAGCCATAGTGTTTACGTGCCGTTGCCCTCGTTGATTTCCGCCATCTGCCGCGGCAAAGTTGCAATGTCCTTTGGCCATGATAGAGTGTACATTCAACGGGATCTACAATGCCCCGTCTACAATGTAGATCTGGGCATATTGACTCCCACAGTTCCCCCATAGTCGAGGAGCGAGGGGCGACAAAGCTCTGCGACGCATAGCCTCTGACCCTCTGACCAGTCCAAAACTGATGATACCTCCACCATAAGATATATTGGGCTCAGAGAGATTCCTTTGTATCTTTGGGTGTCAGACAGACCCAACCTCTCAGTCCTTCAGTCTCAAACCAAGCAAGATCACGACAAAGTCTCTTCCATCTCACCGTTCTTTCTTTGGAGCACTCAATAGCAACTGCTTGCCATATCAGCGCCTCTTGAAGATGAGATTGAAAGGTGAGCTTTTGCCATGTCTCTCTATAGATACATGTTTATATCCCTAGGCCGGTAAGTGAGTTTTGAATTGTCTGCGAGTTCGGTCGGCTAATTAGCGCCAACGCGGGTAGACAGATCCCTGTCTCCGTTCGGTACGATTCAACGCAACACCAGGCCAGGCCAGGCCAGTCTCCAGAAACATCAAAGCACCCAGCGCAACTCAACTCACCACCCCCCAAGACCCTCGCGGACTCCGACGACGATACGACACGATACGACATTCTCATTCCCATCCATGATTGTGCGTTGTGGGATGATACTCTAGATACTAAGCGATGTGTGTTCGGCTTCCATCTGCCCAGAGGGAAAGAATCGACTTCGAAACACTGTTCATTGACAACCAGATTGAAAGGCATGACGAGCAGTCTTCCCATCCCCGACCTTGCGCTCAGCGGCACGGCATCACAGCTTGATCAACATCTCTTCACCGCTTCCAAGACCTCTGCTACTTCACAAGCATCTCATGCTATGAAGGCGACGGACTTGTCTGACGATTCGGATGGCTACCAGATGGGAACGCCTGCCTCCATAGCTTCCGAAAAGATGGTGAAGCAGGGCCTTGATGCCAGGACCAAGATATCCAATCTTCTTAAGGATAAGGAGCAAGAGTGGACACAAGTTCTGGAGAGGAGGAAGGGTCCCTTGCGGCTGTTGGATCTGCCGTTGGACGTGCTGAAGGAGATCGTAAAAGAGGTAAGAGGCATCTTGTGCCTATCCATCCACCTACGCGTTACCTACTTGCTTCTATCTGATATAGACAAGCTTGTGGGTCCATGTTGACAGTTCTACTCAGGTTACCCATACCAACGACTTGACCGCCCTAGCTCTGACACATTCCGCCTTACACACCCTCGCTATCCCTCACATATACTCCCGATTCGACATTGTGTGGCCGGATACTGCAGCATCCACCGATTCGCGAACTGGCGTAGATGCCTTGACCTATGGACTTGCAACTCTGTGCATGGGAGACGTATTTACGGACCACACAAACACGCAGTCGTTTGCTTGCATGAACTGCGGTACGGAGAACATTGCGCAGTGTAGTCATGGACTTAAATTTGGACCAGGGAGCAGTCGACGCCGCCTAGGAAATCAATACCCGCAATTCACACGAAAGTTCTCCCTGGGAAATGGCCCTGCCGAATGGGTTCAAGAATATCTCATCACTAAGGAAAGTGGGAAAATGCTAGGGACTCTGGTTGCACTTGCTGTGGCCAGAATGGTTCATCTCGAAACCTTTGTGTGGGATATGCCCACCGGAGTGCTCCGCGATGTATGGCTTGCTCTATCGTCTCTACAAACCAGGAGCTCGAGCCAGGAATGCCGATTAGAGCGAGTCTGGGTCCGCTGGCATGATAATTCAGATCCCACGAATCCCCCCTCGACCCAGGGTGCAGCTAGCAGCTCCAGTACCACCCCACAGATCTTGGCCGGCTCGCAACTCACTTCAGTGGGCTGGACCATCCCGCCAGGATCTCCACCGAACCCTCATATATCTGATTATCCCATTTCGTACTCCCAGAGCCGAGTTGAGTACCCCACGCTTAGCGTTCTCCCTCCTCTGAAAAGTATCTCGGTGCTCGACATCGATGAACTTGACTATTTAGACGAGATGAGTGTTCTTATCGCCAAGTCGCGAGACCGTCTTCGTGAGTTGAGGGTCGGTATCTCTGCCAAGGCTGTGAGCAGGGACTTCGCTATAGCTTGGGATGGAACCGATCTCCAACAAGTCGATCATAAAGCACAGTGGCCTGGTGCTAGCACTATCGGTGAACGACGACTCGGAGGCGTTCTTGGAGTCTTGCTAGGACGAGTCTTTGACATCCGTAAGAAGCAAAAGCCAAAGGTCGAAAGGAAGGATAGAAACACGTCCATGGCTTCTTCGACCCCTATTCCACCTGAAGTACAGCCGCCTTCGGAGTTGGATACGGCACTAAACCACATCCCTGATCCTCTGCAGGAAACCTCCCAAGAGCCTCACTGGTCTGGAAAGGAAGGATTGGGTCTGACCGATGCAGTCCTCTCATCTCCCTTCAACGCTGATGAAAGTGCTCCGCCAAATACCAATGGCTTAGATTCTCATCCGCCACATTTCAGCTCTAGTATTCTTGATTCCTCTCAATCTGATGTGCAGTCTCTCACTGCGTTGATCTCCGCGCATGAGCTGGGCACCGGAATCCAGGACGTAGCGATAAATCCTGGTGTCTTGCAGCACGAGGTAGTCACTGGCCATGCTCTAAGGCGATCGCATACTCAAAGTCAGAAACAGTCGCATTTTCAAGAACCTCATTTAGCCGAGCGAGATAGGCTGGATGGCAAATTAAAGCTACAGACCTTAGAGCTTGAGCGCATTCCCCTCTCAGTGGCTGTTCTTCAGAAGGCTTTCGACTGGTCCATTCTGACCAATTTGACCATACTCGATTGTGCCCAGCATGCTAATCTCTGGTTGATGTTGAGAAGGCATTTCCAACCTACGGCACTTGGCATTTCACATGCCTCAAAGCACGGGGCCAATGTGCAGTATCATCTCAATCTGAAAAAGATTCACACTGATGCTGCCTCTCCAGCTTTAATATCTTTCCTCAAGGAGACTCTGGCGCCAAATACGCTCGAGACTTTGTTTCTACAAGATCGCAGGAGACCAAGCGCCGCTGCCGCTGTTACGATAGTAAGCTTGCCCTCTCTGCTGCTTTTCTCGCTCGGGCGGTCTCAAGCGAAAATATACTTACTTTTACAGGATGCTATCTATCGAGGCCCTTTGAAGAGACATCGTGCAAGTCTGAAAAGGCTGATGCTGGACAGCTCCGACAAAATACCACGCGCGCCGAATAATGCGTCTGAAAATGTACGTTGGAGGGCATGGATGCCGAACCTCGATGTGCTCAACTTCATCACCAGTGGGAGAATGAGTAGTCTCAGAGAACTGAGTATTGCCATTGAGTATAGTAACTGGGTGAGTCGCTTTTTTCCCCTGTCTTCCAGTTGCCTTGTAAATGGAGCAAAAAGCTATACTCAATTCTGAATGTGCCGGATCCAATGCTAACTTACAACAGCATCACTTCCTCCAGCGCCTTCCTCAGATTCCACATCTGCGATCATTGAACATCCCCTTTATAGCTGACCATGTCACACCTGCCTACGACCCACGAGAACTCGCTCTGCAAGTTGTCGATGTCATCGTCCTTCGTCCCGAGGTAGAGCTCTGTTATATCGGCGTCTCCCACAAGTGCTTTGAAATTCTGGAGAATAGACCTCATGACGATCTTCATGGCTCAGCAGATGCACATTCGAGTGCTGCTCACAGTGAGTCAACCCACAATGTCTCAGCTGGTGTGTTTTTTTACTGACGGTTACTCAGACGACGAAGAGGATGAAGAGGATGAGGATGGCAGCGATGAAGATGACGATGAAGAAGAGGAAGAAGACAACTCGACGGCAATTGGAGCTCCTCTCGGGATTGATCCGGACGAAACCGAATCCGAGATGTCAGACCGCGATTCTGACACCGATTCTTGGGATGGCTCAGACGACGGGCGTTCCAACGTCAGGCTTCGGTTAAGAGAGATTTTGTTCTATGATGATAAGGTCTCCATATTCAAAGCTCGCCATGGCAAGCTTTGATGATATAGAATAATATGGCAGTTGAGCTGAGAGGAGTCACCTTTGTCTACATTTTCGGTGGAGTTTTGAGCGCATTTAGGAGCCGAGAAATGCATTGATTGCCTAGGGCAGCAGCAGGTCAGGTTTGGCAAATGGAGTTCTGCGGCATCCTGGAGAAAGATGGTGAGGGCAGCGGGACATGAGTTTAAGTCTAGGGCTTAGTCAGCATCTTGCGAGTGGGGGTACAATATATCTTCCTTCAGTGGCAGCAGTATGCGCAACCAGGAGGCTCTCAGACGAGCTGCCAGGCCACATTCTTCTACTCTTGGTAGGAATCATTTTTTAATTCTTTTTAGTGGCGTATACATACGTCGCATATTCTTAGTGGGATGTGGAATGTTTTGATCAGATCTTGCCGTTTCTGCCATGTTCGATGACTTATTTGGGAATTTTCATCTTGAAGTTAGTGTTGTGCAAAAACAGACCTGCAATGCACATTGCGGTTTTCAGTATTATAACCCTAGACCGCACGACGCCTCCCTTCCCCCCAGAGCTGGCCGGTTGAGGCGCTTTACCGAGTACTCTGTATTACCACGTAGCGGTTACCATTGCAGGGCATTGTTTGCCCGATGGCCCTTTTGCTGACGTAAGGATTTTGCTGCTATCTCCGTATTGCTTGGATTTTTGGTCAGCCATGCTAAATGTTATCGGCGGCGCCTGACTAAGCATGATGTAGCTGTTTTGCTGACTAATCATGTGGCACCCAGATCGAGATGCATCCCCACAACTCACGATGGCGGGGTGGCATCGGGTGTTCGGCTAAGAAAACTTTGAACTGCACACACAAAACTCAAACGACAGCTCCACCAGCTGAGCCATCAGAGCGAATGTGGCTCTTAACTGTTATGCAAAAGCAGGCTTGAAAAAAACGCTGCAGTTTCCAGATTTTAAACACTACACCGCACGACAGTTAGCACTTCAGAAGAAGCCATCACGGTCTTATCCCGTATCATCAGCCCGTTGGCCGAGGTGGACCTGATAGGCTCATTGAGGCTGGACGACGCGGTTGCTCGCAAGTTGTGTCCATTCAAATGCGACAATGAAATCAGTGTTCTGTCTGAGTTGGGCGGCCGCTTTCGTGTCGAGAAATAAGGAGAGCAGGAGAAGCCAGCGACTCGTGAGGCCGATGCAGCTTGTTCAACAGAGCTCTCCTATGCTGATATCCGGGAAATACAGGACAGTTTTGGTCGTTTCCACCACCAAGATTAGCTCATTTCATTCATGAGATGGGTGGGATGGGTGAGGGATCTGTTGTTGCCAATTCATGGACGCCTCCAGCACATTCGATTTCCCTACCGGTACTTTGCTTTGCCTGTACACCTACATCTAGTCAGTCTGTGCTGATTATATACTACGTACGGGCATTGTTTCGATGCGAGGCTAGAGAGAGGCGCGTGGGATGCTCGGCATAGGTACTCGGACAACAGAACTTGCAGCCAGCTAATTTCAGAGCGGCAAGATCTGCACGTCAGAGGATCACAAGAAGCACTTATTTGCCGATGCCTTTGTTGATGTCATCTTGATCAGTTCGGGCTTTCCGTAACGTTACTACTGGTTCCCTCGTCAACGCCTTGACTTTTTAGCGCGAAGCGCGCGAGACGCTTTTCAAGCCCTCTCACGGGTACACCAGTAGCAGCACAGTATGGACTAGGCGTCTATCCGTATGACTAATATTCCCCTCCATGAAATATAGCGAAGATCCAAGTCTAACCCCGTATTTCGAAGATCGGCAGCTTCTGAAAAGCCAAAAGTCTTGTCAACTCTATTGCACAGACCGATCGCCTGCCTAGAGCTGCCTTCCAAGGCTAAATATCTACAAGATTACTGATCAAAGGCATGGTAATAGCACTTGCCAAAAATTACGCTGTCGCTTTTATTCCAGGGGGGATAATATTTTGGTGCTGGAGATGCCGATCAACGATGAAACACCTGAGTACAGAACGCATGAAAAGTATAAATACAGGCTGTTCCTCTCTCGCCCACCCAATTAACGAGTGGAGATGGCGTATCCGAAGCGCAAAGCTTCAACACAAGCAAATGTCAAGCCCCCGTCCCGAAGGGCGCGCTCAAGAAGCAAGTAGAATTGTCGTCGTCGTCTGATGAACCGCGACGCCCGAGTATCTCTTCTAGGGATGACCCCCGGGTTCTACGTAAGAAGATCGCCCCGCGATCTGCTTTTGTAGGTCTGGATCGGGAAGGTGATCGATTCATGGGTAAGTATCATGCAAGAGACACGGAGAGAGTTTTCGTGGGGGTGTCCGGGGATAGCTTCTACTTATTGTTGTTTGTTCTGTCTCGAAGCTCAGGCACTGATCAGTCGGCAGAATCCGGAGTCGGCATAGGTTCGGTATTAGAGAGAGATCGGCTCGATTTTGCACTTGATGCAGTCTTGTCCTGGAGGTTTGGAATGGGGGGGGAGATATTTTGCGTTGTCGATTGCCTTGGAGAAGCTCTTGGATGCACGGCAGACGATACCTACCTACCTCCTTCCAAGGACAGAATGGTACGCCGCCAATACTGAACTGCATTACTTATTGATTTCTGCTTTGATATCTTGCTGTTATCTTTGGTCTTCCAATTAAGGATATTCTCGCTTTTCTCTCTTCAGCCGTAAGTGCTCGCTTAATCACCTTTGATAGTCGAGATCCTATCACGGGATAAGGTATTCCGTATATTCGCGGACACCGAGCATTAGGTAATGCATATCTGTTCATGCAGCACAAATACTCCGTAAATACGTACCGAGATAGGCTCTGCGGTATATTCGGATAGCTCTTAAATTACATGCCAATTCCAATTGGCGTGACTGGGGAAGTGCCGGCGGGTACTTAGCGGCATTTCTCAAGAACTCGAACCTTGCTAGAGCTTGTTTTGAGCCTGGTAGCTGTGAGTCTCGGTAGCTGTGCTGCTTCGTATGGTTTGATAGACAGACTTGTTTCAGAGCTTTGCCTCAGCCACCGTACAAATACTACTTAGAGGAGCTTCGATTCTTCTTTTCTGTGATCACTTTCTTGTGGAAGTCCACGTTTGAACTTCCGCGTTCCTCTCTTCTGAGTCCCGACAATCAAAAGCAAGCCTATCCTCCTCAGACGCATTACCACTGCTGGCCCAGATCGTTAGTCAGGCAACGGAAATTTGAGCCTTGAACGCCACACCGTTTTCAGCCCTTTTGTACGAGCAACCCAAGCCGAGTCGCTTGCACTTTTGTCATCACGATCCTGTCCGAACGGAACACCATCGGCGATGGCGACGTTGACATCCTGGTCCGAACGTGCAACTTCTAGCCGGGGCGCTGCTATAGAAGTCAGGGCCTATCGGTTGTTAGCTTTCTGGGCTTTCTGGGCTCTTCTGGCCGGTCGGTGTCTCCAGAAACCAGAAACACAGAGCCAAACTCAAAAAGTCCCGCTCGGTTGATCTGCAGACGCGGTACAGTAACCACTCAGTAATATAGGTACTATACGGGTGTGCATAATAATGATCGTGATTCGTGATGGTAAGTAATAATACTAACAATAATCACGATAAATGATGATGATAATAATAATACCGTAAAATGTCATGGCAACGAGCAACCGAACAAGTCGGACATCACTGTCCTGTGCCCATGTCGGAAATCACCCCAAATATAGTCACATATAGTTTATATAGTTATATTTATGCCCAGCCAACCGACTACTCCAAGCGTTATTTGCAAATTGCAATCTCTGTCCCTAGTTGAGTTTAAAAAGATCGACGCATGGGGGGCCGTTATGCAATGCCGGCCCTATTTGTTCCGTAAGAGTAGAAGAAAGTATTTTGGTGGCCGGGTAATCTTCTCAACTACCTAAAAACAAACAAAATCGACAACGATGTCTCCCCGTCCCGTGACTCCCGTACCGTCCCGATCGATGAGCAACCGGGTGTGTCCGACTTGTGCTCATCTCATCTCATCTCATCTCATTCCACTTCTTTTTATACCATGTCATTTTTATTATATCGCTTTTCAATCTTATCAATCTTATCGATCTTATCGTCGTCGTCGTCCTCGCCGTCGTTGTCGTCTTTGTGGCCCATTTATTTTTGTCTCACAGTAGTCAGCAAGCAGCTTTGCCCTGCCCTGATTGCGTGGCCCATGGTACCCATCACCACTTCATTGCGGCGAGGACAGGCTGCCAGCTAGCTGCGAAGCCTGACGACGGACGACTTACACGGAACTCACTTACTGATAAACTTACTACTACTAACTCCGAACTAGTAGTACAATAGTACAATACTTACCTCACGGCACTGGAAAGCCAGTGCTGACCACACTCAATAGCTGACAAGGGGGAGAATCCTACGACATGGTGGTAATCTGCCAATGCCCATCCACAACGCGATCGCCTTCTGGGGCAAGGTCCGGGTACAATAGTCTTATTTTTCTTGGTCAAGACTCCAGGGCCTTGAGGCGAAGAGTGACGGGCCGGGGAGGGGGACATGGGGGACATTCATTTATGCCTCCAAGAATCCCTCAGCACTATCCACTATCCAAAATAGGTTCTCTCGATCAGACCGTCTCTCTCGTTCTCCTCATATGAGCCGCACTCCGCACTTCTTCTCCACGTTTTAGATAAAAGATCCTCGATTCCCCTGAGACCCAGCGATCGCCTTGTGGCTGGCAATTGTATCATCTCTCGCTGCATATTCGAAACCCATCCGTATATGCCGCTAGCTGCTGTCATCTTTTACAGCCTCACATCCAGCCCTCATGGACGCTTTGTGTATGCACCTGGGTGTACAGAATTCAAGTCGACGCAGGTCAAGGTCTAGCAGTCATCTGTCCTCGACGGCCGCACAGCTTCAAGGATTAAACATTACCAGCCTGTCGTCGCCTTCAGACGAACGGAGTAGGAGCACATCAGGCATTCAATCCAATCCCGAGTCTCGCGCTTCTCCAAACCCCGACTTCTTCAACCAGGGCTCCGCCTATTCTTCGCCAAAAGATATCCTCACTGCTCCTGTTCCACAGCAGTACACATCCTTTCCACTTCTCTCTGACAGTGACCTGGATGGCAACTGGTCCTACCTCAGCGCAAGTGAAGAACCTCCTCGGTCTGCACCCTTACACGGACTCGATACTGCCCAGGCTTTCTCCAACAAACATCAACATATTGGCGACCACAGCTCTGTCTGTTCAGAGTCCAATTCTTCCAACATGAGGTATGGCTCATACGTCCCTGCTCTGGTGGGAGAACCCTTTCAGGTGTTTTCTAATACAAGTCTATAGCACTCTTGGGATCCAACAGTTCGACTCTCGATTTGACGCCAGCATGAATTCTGACCTCCGTCACACATATTCATGGCCTCGTAAGTTGCAAAATCGTGTCTGGAGTGTAAAAATCTAACTCCTCCAGCATTCGATATGAACGACCAGCAGTTCATCTCCCAGAGCCAGAACCTGATCCATGGACAATTCTCACATCTATATGATGAGCCCAAACTCATGTCTTCTTACTCGAGATCTCTTTCATCCAGCCCTCCTCGATCCAGCTTTACTCCAGAACAGCGAAAACTGAAGCGCCAGCGTGATCTTGATCGAAGAGACTCTAAATCACGTGCAAGGAGGGATAGATCAATGAGCAATACCAGCAACCGAAACCCATACATCGTATCTCAGAACGGCTCGCCAGATCTGTTACCTGGGACACTCCCAGATTACACGAGCAACCCTAGTCAATCTCCTCTCCTCTCACAAGGGTCGCTGCACGGTTCCCCAGCTCTAGGCAGCAACGACTTCCTCGGGCCTTTCATCCCTCCTCTCAGTATTCATGGACAATCAGACATGTATTGCCCAGTTTACGCGATGTAAGTGCCTGGCTTGGCCACCCGTGAATCTATCACAGTCCACTAACTCTTTCGCGAAGGGGACCAAACGACTTTCCATCAGCTCCGGCCTACCCTATTCCTTTCTCCAACGCCGGAGGAGAGCCCGACATGCAAGCATTTGCCAGTCGGCCACATTCTATGTCTCTACCATTATCTCCTGATATGGTCAGCATGTACGGGACTCAGCAGGCGAGCCCGAAGGTGGGATCATCGGAACCCGGCGACCATGTACGAGTGGTCCACAGCCGTCCCAAGCCACAGTGCTGGGAACACGGGTGCAATGGAAGACAATTCTCCACATTTAGCAACTTGCTCCGCCATCAGCGAGAAAAGTCGGGCGCAGCACAAAAGTCCAGCTGCCCAAACTGCGGAGCCGAGTTTACGAGGACTACAGCACGAAACGGACATATGGCGCACGACAAGTGCAAATCGCGGAGGGAATCATAGAGCGACTTTTACGAACGATGGATAGAGACGAGATAGCGGCATGCATTCATTGGGTGGCGTTCCGAATTTAGGCAAGGTTTTTGGAGCCAGGGTTAGAACATTCGTTTCTTTCAAAATAGTCGAGTCACGGATACCCTGATGGTGGGCGACCTCTATACCCTTATTTATTTAGAATCTACTTCGAGAAGTTCCTCTAGGATAATTTAAAGACAATTTACAATACATCAATCCAACACATCACTGCAAGTGACAACTCGGAGCTGAACAGAATGGGCGCGTGCATATTAGCTGTGAAGAGAAGAACATTACTGAAGACAGGTCGTTCAACATAGCCAATCAAAGTGACTGTAGCTATCAGGCAACTCCCAAACAAGAAGCGTGCGGGCTCACATGGTTGGAGTTTGCGCAACTTTCTGATAGTTTCCTGTTACTAAGCACAGGCTCAATCGACGAAACGTCGTTGTTGTGCAACAGTCATAAGTGAAGCGTGAGAAACAGGCTCGGCTCAGCCCCGGCTTCTTTTCAAAATAGCCTGTCATCTCTTTCCTCTGTTTATCTGTTTATTTGTTTATTTGTTTATTTGTGCGACCGCACCTATGTCGCAGGTTGGGCGGTCCGGATGCAACGTACGTCTAAGAGGTCTTGCTTATGTCAGCTCGCCTGATAGCGCAAAGAGAGATAAGCCACTCGTGGCTTGACATTTCTATATTTAAATGCACCCCCAAAAAAAGTGTGACCTGGGTGGATCAGGGCAGCTGTCTCTTTTCCGGGATTGGCATGATCGCCATTACCGACTCTTTTTCTTGTTCGGATTCTTTTTTTCCTTTTTCTTTCCTCGGCCCGTGCGAGGGTGAGATTTGATCTCGGGATCTGCGGCGCGGCAGCGGGCCACAACAGCGCGCGCGCGTGCAACAACTCGACCGACCAGCAACATAGTGAACCTATTTTCAGTCAACGGTGAAGGCCGGCGCGTGAGATTAGTTGTGGAAAAGAAGTTTGGAGGTCGGCGACGGGGATACCACTGGATATGTTTCCAAAATAGGTTAATGGGACGGAGGGCCCGGGGCCCAGCTGGCGCGCAAAAGCAACTGGCGGGAGATGCCCGGGTGGGGTCAACCCAGTCGGTTATTACGGAAAGGACGTCGCTGAGATGATTTGTACGGCCTCACGGCACAGGCTCGTCGGTCGTCGACGGGTCTCTGCGAGGGGACAGAGCATCCAGATGGTTTGCCGGCATGGGAATCACAACCGAGCTGAGTCCAGACTGCTGCCACCCACACCCGCCACGTCCCGGGGCCGTCGGTGGAGTTTACATTGTACGTTGTATACTTCCGAGACCCTTTCATACCTAGTAAAAACTACTTGTATTCAGCCTTATGGGATCACAGGGCAACGGGAGCAATGCAAGTGTACGAGGAGCGAAGCACAGAAGCTTAAATCTGGTGGGAGCCTTATCTCCTCCATATCAGGCGCCCTTTTAAGAGAATGGAGAACAAGGCTTTCCCAAGACGAGCGAACGACCTACCATACTTTTCTATTGGTTGTCGTAGGTATGTAAATCTGGTGGGAGCCTTTAGCTCCTCCATATCATGCACTCTTTCGAGAGAATAGGGAATAAGGCTTTCCCAAGACGAACGAACGACCTATCATACTTTTCTGTTGGCTGTCGTACTATAGGTATGTAGTTGTAAGTACTAGTTCACCGTAATTATAATAGGTCCACGTAGTTGTAGGTTTTCAATAGGGCCAGTCAGCTGGATTATCATTTCCAGAACGTAGGTCTAACTAAGTAGGGACAGGCAGTTAAGGTTGGCACTGTTGGCTGCGCCTTATTTCACAACATCAAATTCTACCGACGAATTAACTCCTCAACACTTCGACGAGCCAGCGAAAGCCCAGCCTGTGGACGAAGGGGCTGGCTGGCTGGCTGGCTGGCTAGCTGACCGTCTTCGGTCCGTTGTGCGCCCCTCAATGACAACTTTTGCCACACAGAAAGATGGGTACATAGCGGTATCACTGCGCATTCTTTCCATAGCGTATCTACACGAGCAGAGTCCGGGGGTCCAAAGTGCACCTCGCAAGATGACTCACTCGGGGAGCCCAAAGCTTATAGTCGAATCGGGAAACAACGGGATACGGATAAGCATGATGGGCATTTCTTTCTAGAACATGAGAATCCTTAATGCTATTCCCCTCCCGGGAATATGTAAGCAAAGGGTAAAGTATAATTTCGCAGAAGGTTTGACCGGGGGGCCGCCTTCACCAATAAACTTATGGAGATGTTCATGCCTTGAGGGGGTTTCTTCAGGCAAGTAATGGGATTTGTGCAATAAGGTTGACAAGGCCCTGAGCCATTCAGAAGCTGGCGTTGTACGGCACACGCAGCTAATCAGTACTCCACAAATCTTATATGACGGCTTGCAGAGTCGGTATATACGATGTAGTTGTTTGTCACCCGGTACAGGCCGTCCGTGAGTATCTGTCAGCATCTCCGTACTCTTGGCCGCTGACATGCATTATCATCTTACGACAACTGACACTAGGGGTCTCCGAGTAGCTTTCCTCTACAGGCATTCAAGTTTCATTGAATTCAAAGTCGAAGTGCATTGTCATAACAACACCCCTTCGGTACAGAATGCCCAAAATGCGATCTTTGTTTGAAATCACTGTACATGGTGATTCCTTTCGCAGTCCTCATTCTCATCTGCCAGCCACCTCAAAGGTAGCCTGCCAGGCATTCAAGGTTCTCCGTCTAAGACTTTCAACAGAATACGCCTTCCACCGCCATAGCGACGAAGATAAATTTCCCTCTAGCTTCAAGCACTCGACTGCTAGCTCTTATGATCCAGGTAGACTGTACTGCAAGTGCGTCGAAAATCAAGCCTCTCTGTAACGCTGCAGCGAACGAGAAGCAGGTAGAGACGTGCTGGCTACCATGTCCCGCTGTATGTTCATACCTACCTACCTACCTCCGAGACTCCGGTTCTACAGATGCGCCCTGAGGGGTTCCGGATGGTATCACGCCCGATGAAACCGGTCCAGGAAGCTTTCAAGATGTTGCCGGTACCAATACCATCGCCCAAAAAGAATGCTGTTTACGGTACCAGCAAGCCCTACTATGCTATTCCCCCTCGCAGTTGTCTACAGAGCTCGGCTTCGTCAATATCCTTTTACCAACAGTATTTTGATCTGCGAAGCTGGAATACCTCTCAAGAAAGTGCCTTGTCCAAGGTATCGAGGCATGACAAGACTGTTCGTTCGCCTCTGCTCCACCCTCCTGCGGTTATGTAATTTGCAGCAAGCCCGTCGCTACTGTAGAGAACGGTAGGGAATGGTGTTGATCTGAGAGGTGTCGGTCGGCTAACTTAACTACCCGAGTGCAAACAAAGGATCCGATCAACATTCACTCCACTCGCATCAGCGACGTACTCTTAAGCGGTGATGACGTTTTCTGCTCATTTTCAAGTATGAAAACTGGACACGCAGACCAGACTTTTCATGCGAAGATCTGTCGTGCCTATTGCTCACTATCAGTTTCAACAGTAGCTGCTAACAGATGCCTCCAGAACTCTCTTGTTCCCCGAGAATGGCAGTGATCTTATCATTATGAGAGAAAATCAAAAATACCTGATGATAATCTTAGGCACATTGATGTATTCTCGGATGCATCACATGAATCTGCTTTGGAAATCAAAATTCATCCAAGTCATTGAACTTTGCTGAGAGATATGAAAGCACTTGGGTCAAGAGAGCAAGACAATCTCCAGAATAGATTGTAATATTGCTGGAGGTACAAGCTTGAAATAAACATTCTAATGCGCTGACATCCAAATCTGTATATCACGACACACCGGGTCACATCATGCTTGCCCGTCTCGTCATTCAACACTCGTTCCCCTAACACATTATTAAATCGAGTATCAGCAATTGTATTACCTGGAAATAAGAGAACACTGGCGCGAATGTAGATTATAAAGATGTCTGCAACCCGACCTCGGTTTTAAATGTCAACAAAGATGCCTTCGTAAGCGCCTAATTTATCAGGCCGGAGCACTTAACACGCTCTGCGCCAATCACATCGGATGAAGCTCGGCGCGTCAACGCGACATCCCATCTCCTTCAACTTTCAAATTTCCCTCCCTTACCAAAAATTCCCCAACCCACGATCGACCTCAAATCTTACCTCAACTCCGACTCCCCATCCCCAGAATATCTCGGACTAGAACCCATATAACTCCACCTTAAAGAGTATGTGCTTGCGGCCAAAATTTCCCCTCATCGCTAATTATGGGGCGCAGTGTTGGAAGCACGTCTCGAGCAAGCTGATCTCCTGAAGAAGGTGAACCTGCCTCGCCGCGAACAGTTCTACGTATCATACTGACCTCCGCAGATCGTCGATGCGATCAAGGATCTTGTCCAGGACTGCAACTTCGACTGCAATGATTCCGGTGTCGCGCTCCAAGCCATGGACAACTCCCACGTCGCGCTCGTCTCTATGATGCTCAAAGCCGAGAGTTTCTCCCCATACCGATGCGATCGCAACGTCGCCCTTGGTCTCAACCTCACATCCCTCACCAAAGTCCTCCGCGCCGCGCAAAATGAAGATATTCTCACCATCAAGGCAGAAGACGCGCCCGACGTGCTCAACTTGGTGTTCGAGAGCAGCGAGAGTGATAGATTGAGCGAATATGACTTGAAGCTCATGGATATTGATCAGGAGCACTTGGGTATCCCGGATACGGAGTATGCCGCCACCATTAGCATGCCTTCCTCTGAATTTAGCAGAATCTGCAGAGATCTTATGGCCCTGTCCGAGTCCGGTACGGTGATTCGCAGACTACCGCAATGTTTCCTTGGCTGATTCAATTTATCCGCAGTTGCTATCGAGGCCTCCAAGGATGGTGTTAAGTTCTCCTGCTCTGGAGATATCGGCAATGGCGCAGTGACCCTCCGAAGCCACACAAATATCGACAAGCCTGATATGAACGTCGAAATCGAGCTCACTGAGCCTGTCTCCCTTACCTTCTCCCTCAAATACCTGGTCAACTTCTGCAAGGCTGCTGGCCTCTCGAAGTCTGTTAAGCTCTGTCTCTCCAACGAAGTCCCTCTGCTAGTTGAGTACGGCCTCGCTGGAAGCAGTTACCTGCGATTTTACTTGGCCCCTAAGGTATGCTACTCGGACCACAAACAAGGTCACACTATGAACATGCTAACAATATGGACAGATCGGCGACGAAGAATAGACCCGCTAATAACGAGTACGGTATCGAATGACGGCATGAAGGTCTGCAGCATATTTTGAATGCGGCGTGATGGTTGACTTTATGGATATGGAGATTTGCGGCTTTTTGTCTGAGCGAGAATTCGTGATTTTTCTCTACCCAGGACTACGTGTTTCTGACATGAAGAAATGCAAACCCCAACACAAACAATGCTTCGCACACGTCACATCTCCATCGCACTCTGGATCTGCAGTTGTTGATTTGTTTGGGTTTAGCGCGGGGTAACATCGACCCCACTTCTGTGAGATCTCAAGCATGACTCCGTGACAGGATCTGTTGTGATCGAGCATGAATGCGACCCGTGCCCTGAACATCACGAATGTATTTGTTTTGTTATTTCTCATAATCGGGCTTGCTATTTCTTCTTTCTCGCCCCATAATCTTTCCTACAATGTCTACTCAAGACTACTCAGTTCCCGAAACCCACGTTCTCGCAATTGCCAGTCATGTAGGGATACCACACCGATTCATTGGATGAGGCTGACATTGTACCGAAGGTTGTCTACGGGTGAGTCTGCCACTTACAGACAAGACCGCGCTATAATGGACTAATAGGCCATAAGATATGTGGGAAACACCATGGCGACGTTTGCGATGCAGTCTCTCGGATGTGAAGTTGCAGCCCTGAATACAGTACAGTTCAGTAAGAACACTTTCTACTCGTAAGAGTATACATCTAAGCTCACATGTTTTGCGGGCAATCATCTGGGGTACGGTCAAGTCAAAGGTACACGAGCTACGGCGCAAGAGATCAAAGACCTGTACCAGGGCCTCAAGGATTCCTACCTCGACGAGTTTCAGATGATGCTGTCTGGCTACCTCCCCGGTGCAGCTTCCGTCGAAGCCGTCGGCTCTATTGCAAGGGACCTGAAGTACAAAGCTACGATGAAGCCGGGCAGTTTCTTTTGGGTCCTCGATCCGGTTATGGGTGACAATGGGAAGCTGTATGTGGCCGAGGATGTCGTGCCTGCGTACAAGGAGCTAATCAAGGACGCCGATCTGATATTGCCGAACCAATTTGAAGCAGAGTACGTCCCTTCCCCTGACCATCTACACTCGTGCTGACACGAATCAGGACGCTGTCAGGAGTCAGGATTGTGGACATGGATACCTTGAAGCAGGCCATTGCAACACTCCACCAACAGTACAAGATCCCACACATTATCATCACGTCGATAGCACTCCCGACGCCTGGCGCGACACCATCTCTCTCGGTGGTCGGCTCAACCATGACTTCAGACGCGTCTCCTCGCATCTTCGGCATCAAGATCCCAGCCATCGACTGCTTTTTTAGCGGCACGGGAGACCTGTTTGCTGCACTGATGCTTGTGCGGTTACGGGAGGCGGTAAACACCATCCCAGGCCTGATGGAGACAGCAGCTTGGGTCAGTGGAGACGAAGTAGAGGCTACCGAGTTACCGCTCGCGAAAGCTACGGAAAAAGTGCTTGCCAGTATGCATGAGGTCCTCACAAAGACTAAGCTCGGCAGAGACCAGGAGCTTGACAAATACAATAGCCAAGTTGGGGCGAGGGACTCGGAGAAGGATGCGAAGAAGCTGAAGCTGGCTACTTCGAAGGCGGCGGAGGTTAGACTTGTGCGGAACGTAGACTGCATTAGATTTCCAGATGTCAAACTCACGGCGGAGAAGGTCTAGATGGGGACAACAGACGCATAACGGTCTGCCGTGGCGTTGGTTTAGCATCTGCATTTTTGTTTGCGTAGAATATATCCACGTTCAGTTGAAGCATCCGTACGGTCACGGAGCTTTCTTTCATCTCTCCCATCTATTCATCATCTGTTTTTTATGAGCCCAGCCACCGGTAACTCCAAGCATCTATCATCCAGCCGATATCATCTCTCCATAAAGTCGTTTCCGGTCGTTGGAAGTAAGGAGGTCATGCCTGAGGCAAGATCAGACCGTACGTATCTACCTAACCAGTACTTCCAAAGCCTCCCGCGCCGCGGACACTCTCCTCCAACTCCTGCACCTCCACCACCTCCGGGGTGTAGATCCTCTCCAGCACCAGCTGCGCCACACGGTCTCCCAGCTTGACCTCGAAGTCCTTCTCGCCGTGGTTGAACAGCAGCACCTTGACCTGGCCCCGGTAATCGGCGTCGATGACACCGGCGCCGGTATCGATCATGTGCTTGGACGCCAGACCCGATCGCGGGGCGATGCGGCCATCTACAGGATTCCGAACCAAAGCCCGTCAGCAAGGGATCTCCAAGGTGGGAAGATGGGGGAGAATAATGGGAGGGGGTGGAGAGAGAGAGAGAGAGAGAGAGAGAGTCGACGCACAGGTTCCTTCTGGCACCGCCATGCTAATGTCCGTCTCCACCAGCACCTTGCCCCGCGCCGGCACGACCGTCTCCCGGGACGCGTACAGGTCATAACCTGCTGCGAAGGCGCTGCCCCGCGTGGGCAGCTGGGCCCTCTCGCTGAGCTTCTTGACGAGGAGGGCAGGCTGCGTGGTGGTGGTGAGAGTGGTTGTGACGGCGGAAGAAGACATGGCTGATGCTGCTGCTGCTGCCGTTGGTGCGGCTTCTTCTTGGGATGGCGAGGCGGGATTGGGTTTCTGGCGCTTGGGGAGGGGGGAATGTGGTGGTGGTGGTGGTGGTGGTGACGCGGGGGCCATCTGTCTATCTGCTGGATCTGGGGGTTTTGGCAAGAAGGAGAGGAGAGGAGAGAGCGCGTCGTCGTGGTGGTGGTGGTGGTGATAGACCAGATCGCGAGACGCGTGAGGACGCGAGTGGACGTGGCAGAGGGCAGAGTGATCCAGCTATGCTAGGACGTGCGCGGGGGATGGGTATTTCCCAACACGGATGAGATATAGGGGGCTCTCCAAGCGAGGATTAACCGAAGGGGACGTCAAGACCGGACTCGAACATGATACGATCTGGAGCCTTCGGTAAAATTTTCCCCTTCACTCTTCGAACATGCTTACAAGTCTTAGGAGAGAGAGAGAGAGAGAGAGAGAGATGAGAGTGAGACTGCCCAGAATTTACTCACTGAGGCCGAGTCGCAAAGTTGCCAATCTTCTCCGGCTGTTAGTCAAGAGGTGTGTGTAGCCGAGTGCGGATCACGTTCTATGCATAGCTTTCTTTTCCTGGCCTAGTTTATCTACTAAAGCCATATCTATCTACAATTACGTTCCTCATATTGCTGCTCAATACACTTTTACCCATAATATGGCAGTGGTATTGCGTAGTTGCTCTTGAGCTTGGATGAGAGCTGGTTGCCGTTTCGTATTGCTATGTATTCGGTCGACGATACATTCTTCATCATGCCATTATTTGAGAGGTTCACCCCTTTTCCATCTCACAATTTTCAAGTATTTGACTCTGCGCAGGGTGGGAGAAGAGGACCGCTCTTCAGATCAGTGCCTCTCCCCAAAGTCATTCATTTATTCATTCATTCGCCGCCATCAAGTTTCCCGGCTTTGTGAGGTACACTTGCACGAATATCCAGAAAGTCCAGCTTGGTGAATGCAGTTCGTAAAAGCTTCCCGCGTGTTTTCTCTTCCTCTATCCAGATCCCATGAAGGTTGGTAGAAGAGTAAAAGACACGGTGAAAAAAACATACAGGAAGATACCATTGATGTTCCACCTTCCTTCTCTTGAAGAGCCTGTATAATCGACCCCCCCCCTCCCCTTCCCTTCCTTTTCAGGAACAGAAGACACAAGTAGTATATCAGACGGAAGCATAAATCCTCATCTCAATACCCCAACAACATCGCACCCAGTTTCACAACTCTCGCCCGATCCTGCACGGCTGCCACTTCCTTCGGCTCTGCAAATTCCGAATTTCGAGATGTGATGAGATCAATCTCGTGGGACTGCTCACACTTGTGTACATACCTGGTGTACCGACGGGGCGAACCTATTTTGGAAATGGGAATCTCACTTCCGAGCTCTTGCACACACACGAGGGACCGGAGGATTTTCACGGTCGACGTGGTCTGGACACACATCTCTCTCTCTCTCTCTCTCTCTCTCTCCCGAGAATTTCAACGCCGCTCTTCTCTGACAGGGAAGAAGCCCAAGCCGTACGCGCGAACCGTCTCCGCGTTTTGTATATCCGGAAAACATCCAAAGCAATCTGTGTCCAACCCACTTGCACAGTGCTGTGCATCTGAGCTGTAGGTAGCTAGCTAGTGATGTCCGCAGCGGGGGACTACCCGATCCCCCTTGGGTCGCCTGCAGAGCTCTAGGAGACAGACGTCGTGCCGGCGGGTTTTTACTATTTGTTTACTTCTGGAGGAGGGAGGTGAATGCTTGCTTGCGTGCTTCCTTCCGACCTCCCATCGACTCTTTTTTTTTTCCGGAAATGTCTTCGGAATATCCAGGCTGGGGAGATTGCATGTATTGTTTAGCGCCTGGATGCTGTGAGGGAGTGGGATCGGGGCAGATGTGTGAGAGTTTAGACTTGGGGACGGATGGCGCTGGCGAGTCTGGAGTCTGAGGTCTGGGGTCACTACGTATGGCGCTGCTGTCATGTATTGATTTTACGAGAGAGAGAGAGAGAGAGAGAGAGAGAGAGAGAGAGAGAGAGA